CTCTGGTCAAATTCAATAATAATAAAAAATAAAAGTTAAATAAAATTATAATTGTTTTTAAAAAACACATCAGTACCTTTTTTTTTCCCTATATAAAGTTAGGGAAACAACTGAGTTCTAATAAACAATAAACTGAGTAGAATGTGGAAATGGTGAATAACAATTTATACAAATACATGACTTATAAAAGGTATAAAACCAAGAAGGAATGGAATTATGATTTAGATTGGTTTAAAATACATATAGGCCCAGTTTCTGTGATATAGTCAGTAGCATACCAGGGCTGATTTTCACCTTCCCTCTCTCCTCTCTCTCGTCTGTCTCCTCTCTCTCCCCTTCCCTCCTCTCTCTTTCTCTTTCTCTCAAGTGCATAAGTCCTATAACAAACCAAAAAAAAAAAAATTACCATGATTGTAAATTCAGGATAATGCTAGAGGCAATAACCAAAATCATCTTTTTCTGTTGACCATCCTCTCTCCTGTTACCTTTCAAAATATCATCAAAACTTTAGCATTATAATTACAATTATGAGATAATAATTTAGTTACAATTTACTAATTTGTTTATTGTAACAGTCTACTACAACAACTGCAAATAGCTCTGGTAAATAATTGTTGCTTTCAAGCAGATGACACTCCTGGCACTGTTTCAGTACTTTGCTGACCAATCAGTCCATCGACCTGTGGTTAATGCCAAATAGTATCACTGTTCTCATAGCCCTCATCCTTATCTAAAACTTCTCACAAAGCCCCAAATCCATTTACTTATAAATATTTTAGTATTGAATCTAGTCTGGATAACTATTTTAAATTAGAACTAGTTTGCTGATCTTGTTGCTTTGCATTAGTCTAAATGGAGGAAAGAGTTCTCATTTCTCAAGATTAAAAAAAAAACTTGAAGAAAAAAGTAAAGTAGGCTAAAAGCAGAAACTGGATCATTCTGTTGTGGAAATAAATTTGCTAAACAACAACAACAAAAATGTTGACAAGAAAATACAAAAAATAAATTCCATAGCCAGAAATAAATTATGAATACTTATAGAGTATTTATACCTTGATAGGCTAATGTATTAATGTGGATATTCTAGCACAGATTATATTTTTAAAAGATGCTGCTAGTGGGGCCGGCAAGTGGTGTGTGGTTAAGGTGCTGGACTCCCTCATAGCTGACTGCAGTTCAAGTCCTAGATCTGGCAGCTTGCTTTCTCATTTTCCCTTTCTCTCTCACTCATCAAATTAAAAGATAATAATAATAAATTAAATTAATAATTCTTTTTAAAAAGATGCTATTAATGAGTCACAGGCTAAAATAGAAGTATTTTATTAATTGTTAAAAAAATAAATACTCAAGTGGGACCAGCATGTGGTACAGTAGTTAATGTGGCTGGATTCCCACATGGTTAACTACAGTTCAAGTTCTGGACCTGGTAGCTTGAAAATCATGCCAGGCACGTGTGTACTCCCAAAATCCTGAGAGGAGAATGGAGGAAAAGGACTGTGGTGTAGCCATCTCCTGGGGGGGGAGTGATTTCTCATTTTCCCTCTCTGTCTCTCCCCTCTCTGGGGAGTGCATGAGCTCTATGGCAAAAGCCTAAGGAAAACCCAAAAAACCCAAATGTTAGGGCCAGCCAGTGGCAGCTGAATCCCATATAGCTGACTGTGTGATAAGAATTCCAGATCCAGTGTTTTGAAAAGTACACTGGGCACATGTGCATGTGTTCCCAAAATCCCAAGAGGAAAAAGAAGGAAAAGGGATTGTGATGTGGCCATCCCTCATGGGTTTATGATTTCTCACTTTCCTTCTCTCTCTTTCTCTCTTTCTCTTTCTCTCTCTCTCTCTCTCTCTCTCCCCCTCTCTCCTTCCCTCCCTCTCTAGCAAGTACACATGTTCTGTAGCAAATTAAAACAAACAAAATCTCAAGTATCTATCAGTACAGTAAACACCCTAGTAAACTGTCACTAGTAAGCACTAGGTCAATGTTAGTTAGTTCCTTCACCCACCTCTTGCCTGACTCCACTCATGTATTATGAGGAATTCAAATGTAGATATTATGTAGGCTCACAAATATTCCAAAGGAAAGTTAAATATTCTAAGTATTTGAAGAAAACTATAAACCAAGTTCTATGAGACTTGAAAGGCAGAGGAATTTATACTCATTTGGAGTTGAGGCATCTGAACTGGATCTTAAAATATTTGTGTTTCCACAGAAAGAGATGGGAGAAATAACTTCGACAATAAAGCAAGACCAAAAAGCACCTCTATGTTCATAGAGCTGGAAAGAGACTACCTGGGAGAAAGTAGGACTATGCAAGGCTTTTCTGCAATGTGCCAATGAGTAAATATTTTCATCTTTGTGGAACTTACCATGTCTAGCCAACTTCTTACTCTGTCCTTGCAGCACAAAAGTAGCCTTGAACAACAGTAAGAGAATGAGTGTGACTGAGATCCATTAAAACTTTATTTATAGGGGCTGGCAGGTGGCTTGGTAATTAGGAGTGCTGGACTCCCACACTACTGACTGTGGTTCAAATCCCAGACCTGGCAGCTTGCTTTCTCTCGCTCTCACTCTATCCCTTTCTGGTCAAATTGAAATAAATAAATGAATAAATAAAGAAATAAAGTTAAATAAATTTTTAAAAAACTTTATTTATAGACACTGAAATTTAAATTTCACATAATTTTCTTATGTCACAAGATATTATAGTTTTTTTAAAAAAATTCTCCACCTTTAAAAATGAAAAAAGAAAACAGGCCAGCAGGTGGCATGGACATTAAGGTGCTGGATCACAAATGACCAGCATCTTGGTTTGAGTCCCAGACCCGGCACCTTGAAAATCATATCAGGAGCATGTGAGTACATGCCCCAAATCACAACAGAAGACTGGAGGGGAAGGGACTGCAGAATGGCCATCCCCCGGGCGATGATTTCTCACCCTACCTCCACCCAACCATCTCTGGCAAGCACAAGCACCTTATAGCAAAACACTAACAACAAAATGCAAAACAAAAATAAAAACATTCTTAGCTCTCAAGTCATTCCAAACTAGTCAGAAGAGTAGATTTTTGCCTGTAGGTTGCAGGTTGTCAACCCTGTTTGAGACCCCTAATTAACTTTAACTAATAATGAAAATTTCAAGGGCTAGATCGTGGTGCAGGGTGAAACATAATGCTCTTTGAAGCAATCCCATATGAGAAGGATCCTCATTCAAGTCCAGAGATCTCCCTGAGTACATCAGGTACGTGCGTGCCCATGATCTAGGGCTAGCTGACACTGGAGGTGGATCATGGCATTGGGACACTGCTCAGTGTACTTTCTTCCTCTGTCTGTCTCTCTTGCTCATAGAAGAAATAAATAAAAATGTTTAAAAATGAAAGTTTCAAGTTTATTTTAAACGTATCAATAGCCAAAGTTTTCATTACTTTTTCTTCCTCACAGCTGAGTTTATCTTATTTAAAAAAAAAAAATTGGTCAGAAAAATGGTACATACCTCAGGACTTGAACCACTTTTTAAACATTCTGAATTTAATCTTACTGATTAAATATCAGTAGTCCTACTTTCCCTTGATGTTTAATTCTTCTCAATGTTTAGACATTAAATTGCTTTTCTTAACCCCTCTACTAGGTCTCACTAAGTATTTTATTTCTTTGCTTTGTATAATTTAACTAATTATGGTTATTGACTTTTTCTTTCTTCTTTACACACATATTTTTTAAGTGCCAGAGCATGCGTGTGCTCAGAGAGCGAGCGAGAGAGAGAAAGACAGAAAAAGAGAGAGAAATTCCCCCCCCCCCATGTGGCATGGTCACACTACAATCCCTTCTCTTCCACTTCTTCATCCTGTTGGGATTTCGGGTACATGCATACATGCACCTAGCATGTTTTACAAGCAACTAAGGCCAGAATTTGAGCCATAGTCAGCCATGTGGCAACTGCCTCCCTTAACCACTAGGCTACAGGGCTGGCCCCATATGTGTATTTATATGTTTATTTTGTCTACGTTTTCTTGACAACAATAATTGGATTCCATTTCACTAGTTTTGATATTAAGATATCTTAGTTACTGCCCTTCTGGACCAAATACTTACAGAAACTTATTTAAGAGTTCCAAAAGCTTTATTTATCGAAACAAAAACATCCTTATCCTAAGTTTTCACTCCCCTGGAATATTAAGATCTCAGACATCTTCAAATATAAAGAGTTGATATACTTAGGTATTAGATTTTATTCTTTATTTTGTAATTACAGAATCTAATTTTGGGTCTTAGTAATTTAGCAAATGATTTATTTTTTAGTAAATAAAAATGTCTAATGCAACATAAAAGTCCTCTGGAGGAAAGGTATTAATCGTGACGATAATTTTAATAACACCTGTTAATTATGATTATACATTCACCATGAGTTGTTCTTAATACTTACATGTAATAATCCATACAATCATATGAGGTAGGAGTTAATATTATTATTTTTTTTAAATAATTATTACATTTAAATTAATTTATTTAATTATTTTAATTTGACCAGAGAGGGACAGAATGAGAGAGAGAGAAAGTGAGAAAGCAAGCTGCCAGGCTCAGCACTTGAACCATGGTCTCAGCCATGTGGGAGTCCAATGCCCTTAACCACCATGTCACCTGCCGGCCCCAGGAGTTAGTATTATTACACTCATTTTATTTTTTAGTTTTTTTTGTAGAGCTAAAAAATATGTATATTAAGATCCTACATAGCACTCTTTAAAAAATATAGAACATGGTGACCAGCAGTTAGTGTAATGGCTATGTCGCTGGACTCCCATGTCGTCAACCGCGGTTCGAGTCCCGGACCCGGTGGCTTAAACTCACGCCGGGCGCGTGTGCGTGCGTGCCCAAGATCCTGAGAGGAGAATGGAGGAGAAGGGACTGCAGCGTGGCCATCCCCTCTGGGAGGTGATTTCTCGCTTTCTATCTCTCTGTCTCTGTCTGTCTGGAGAGCGCACGCGCCCTATAGCAAAAATCTCTCCAAAAAAAAAAGGAACACTTCACGAATTTGCATGTCATTCTTGCACAGGGGCCATGCTAATCTTCTCTGTATCGTTCCAGTGTTAGTATATGTGCTGCCAAAGCGAGCACATTACACTCATTTTACAGATGAGGAATCCGAGACCCTGTCTAGTTACATAACTTGTCCAAACTCAAGAGCTAGAAAGAGCCAAAACTATGCCAGAAGGCGAGGGAAGCCTGGCTTCAGAGTCAAACTCTTATAAAAAAATATTTTTAACTGTCAGAGGGTATGTGCACTTGAGAGAGAGATAAAAAGACAAAGAGAGAAAGCATCCACTAAGGGAAGCATGGTCATACTATAATCCCCCTTTTTCCCACTTTCCCATCCCATCAGGACTTTGGTGCACATGCACACACACCAGGCATCTTTTCAAGTTGCAGGGGATGGGATTCGAACCAGGGTTGGCCATGTGAGATCTGACTCCATATACACAGGGTTTAACTGCAGAATATGTATTCTTAATCATCACTTTACTTATTACTACATGAAGCGCTATATTTAAAGCAGAAAACTATGGCTTTACAAGTTGGAATCCAAACCACTTTAGTTTTCAATTGTGCAAGTTTACATACAATTTCGAGTACAGGAAGGTTTAGCATGTAATCATACTACAAACATTTTACATTATTGTTTAGTGACAAGGCTAATATTTACTAGTCAACAGATGGTGGGAAGCTATCTTAAAATGACAAATGAATATTATTTTGAAAATGTGACAATTCAATGTGATAAATATCCAAAATAGGCATCAGCTAGTGAGTGGCAGATGGAAAAGCACTGCTACACGTTAGAGTTTAAATCAATGGTTCTCAAAGTGTGGTTCCCTGGCCCAACAACAGCCATGAAGAACTCGACTCCTAGTTAAAAGCCGTCATGTGACTTTTCAGGCTCAGAGCAATTAAAATGGCTATTCCAGGCAGGCCTCATGGGGAAAGGTGCCTGGCACACAGCCAATGCGCTGCAGTCTCTGAAGGACTTAGTCCCCTTGTCAGTCGTGCTGTTCCACATAGTTGTATCCTAGCCCAGCATCTTTATTTCAAGGTCTCTGTATATGCGATCTTGGGCAGAGGTCTTCTTCAGGCTCTTCTGCTGAGACATCCGAGGGAAGCGTGAGTGCAGAGGGGACCTTGAATACACTTGGCCCTCATACCTAGTATTTTCTCATTAATATACCTTCTCTTTCCTTTTCACCTCCCCACCTCGCCTGTATCTCTTGGAGCTCCATGACTCCCTCAACAGCCAGATAAACCCCCTTGTCTGTGATGACCTGCCTGACCTTCAACAGGTGTGGCCTTCCACACAGAAAAATGAATGAGGGGATTAAACTTTCACTCTTAGCTTCTTGATTTAATCAGCTACTGGACACTTGGCAGCTGACTCCTCTCTGTATCAGTGTAGCAGAGCTCCTAACAATCATCATAATGAACCGGTAAAAAAAGGTACAATCTCAGGCCCTACTCCAATCATACTGCATAACAAACTCTGGGTGTGTGGCCCAGTAACCTGGGTTTTAATAAGCTCTCCAGGAGATTCTGATCAACACTAAACTTTGAGAATATTGCTTTAGAGAAATCCTCCTTTCAGACCAACCTGTGATAAGTCTATTCTGCTGGATCCCAAATAGATGACTGTGCAGTTCAAGTCCTAGATCCAGTAGGCATGTGTGCATGCGTGCCCAAACTTTCAAAAGGAGAAACGGAGAGGGGACTGTACCATGATCATCCCCCATTGGGTGCTTTCTCACTTTCTCTCCCCCTCCCACCTCTCCTGAGTGCATGTGCTCTCTTGCAAAATAAGGAGGAAGGGGAAGGGGAGGAGGAAAGGAAGGGGAAGGGGAGGAGGAGAGGAAGGGGAAGGGGAGGAGGAGAGGAAGGGGAAGGGAAGAGGGAAGGGAAGGGAAGGGGAGGGGAGGGTTTACTTTAATCTTTAACATTCTTATTTTTAGGACATTAGCTAAACTATTTTTAAATTTACTCAGTTATATTTTGACTGATAACATTTCAAAAGCGAAAACTGTTTATAGTTACACCTAAAAGATGTGTACAAATTGTCTTAAATGCAACCTTAAGAGTAAAGTATGCAATATGTAATCTTATGGTGTTAAATGAAATAGGGACATTCAGAAACTTGTATATTTTTTCCTGAAAGTGAAAGGATATAAACTATAACACTGATTTCTACCATGGAATGAGCTTGACCTCAATTAATCAAATTATAATAGTTAGAAACCCCTGGTAATAAGCTATTGAGTAGAGAACATAGTGTCTTTGAAAATTACCCAGGCACTAATGAACTAATATGGATAGAAATTAATGTAGTTCAACCCTGATCTTCCATGTATCACCTGCATCACTGTACCTGAGCCTCAGCTTCCCAATTTTATCATTTATCTCCTCTCCCAGTTTATTGGTGTTTGTGAATTTATTTATTTAAAAATTCCTTTACTTTCCTTTTTGTGGGACTTTAGGAAAGATGTGAGCTATCTACATGTGCTTAATCTACTATGTATAATCAAAGTCTTTTACTTTCCTGCTGTATTTCAAAATAAATATCAAATTCAGGAGGTTAAAAAAAAAATCTAATTTCTAAGTTTAGATTGTAGCTATCATCCCTTTCCAAACCTACCTTTTTATAAGTTTATTCCATTTATCAAAGTACAAATCATTAAAAAGTGAAAAGTTCAAATGAACTATTTCACTTAAATAAAAACCAATAAACATTATATGACAAGATATTTTACTATTATTTAAAAAAAGGAGTCTACCATGAGAGCTGAGATCTAGTGATTTCAGTGATTTCAGAGATAAGAGCAATGAAGATGTTCTGCTAAGAATCTACTGTGGTAGAGCCTCTCTCTCCCTCTTTCTGTCTGTCTCTGTCTCTTTCTGCCTTTCCATCGGTCTTTTTTTTTTTTCTTTTTTAAAAAAATTTTAAGGTAAAGTTTTTTATCTTGAAATCCTCCTTTATCTTGGCAATAAACTCCTCCCCTCTCCCTCTCCTGTCTAGGCAAAAAAAGGTAGGCCAGAAGACTGAGTCTGCCATGAGAGCTGAGATATAGTGATTGCACGTGGCACGCACTGCATGGTTTTCATTTTTTGCTTTTCATAATTAACAAATTTTTTTGTTTGCTTTATCCATATTTCTCTTACCCTTTCTCTGTTTTCTTATCCTTTTTCTTTTATTTAATTACTTTGCTGCTCAGCTTCCACCTACTGAGTGTCTAGACAAGTCTAAATGAAAAGTTGCCAAATCTGAATACTATTTGGGTCCTCATATTCCTCAACTCCCACTGCATCTCTGTCACAAAGAAAGAAAAATGCAACACCAAAGAGTTTGCAGACCACATCCTCCTGTGCGCATCTGATCGCTCAGATTGATCTTCTAGAATTTAGGAAGAAATGGATAACACGTCAGATGACTAGAAATCATCACAGGGTCACAAGAAATATGCGAAACCAAGAAAATACCTCCCTCCCTAGGGAAAAGAATAACTCCTTTTCATCCACAGATAGTACAATGGAAATCATGGAAATGTCTGATAAAGAATTTAGAGTATTCATAATGACAAAACTAACAGAGATGGAAGAAAAGAGGGACAATGAACACCAGAAGAAAAAAGCTGATGAGTCCCCAGGAGGTGAAGAATTTCTTGCAAGAGCTGAAGGAGGAAATACACACCATAAAAAAGAGTCAAATGGAACTGTTGGAGATGAAGGCTGTAATACAGGAAGTCAAAACTTCCTTTGAAAGTATTAAAAGCAGACTAGTTCATACAGAAAATTGAATCTCAGATGTAGAAGACAAGGATGGCTGGACTAGTAAAATCCACCATGAAGACTGAGAAAATAGCTGCCCAAAAATGAGAATAACATATGAGAAAAACTAGATACCATTAAACATCCAAACATCTGGATAATTGGTATCCCAGAAGGTGAAGAGACTAATAAGGGCATTGACAGTCTATTCCATGAAATACTGCAAGAAAACTTACTAAAGCTAGAGAGGCATTCAAAGATCCAGACCCAAGAAATACAAAGGAGCCCAAATAAGATCAACCCAAGATCTTCTCAAAGATACATTATAGCCAGCTTGACCAAAACCACAAAGACAAGATACTCAGACTAGCAAGAGAGAAACGTCATGTAACCTACAAAGGTTATCCCATCAGGCTAACAGCAGACCTCTCATCAGAAACAATGCGAGTAAGGAAAGAATGGGAAAATATACTCAAAGTATTGAGTGAAAAACATTTTCAATCAAGCATACTATATCCAGCAAGATTATCCTTTATATGGGAAGAGAAGACAAGAACATTCTCAGATAAACAAAACCTGAAAGAATTTACTACCACCAAGCCAGCTCTCCAAGAAGTTCTGAAGGGAGTGCTATCCCAGGAAAACTACAGTCACATACACAGAAATAAAGAGTTTTAAAACAGCTAAGAAAATAGCCAGCTTGGGACTAGCAGTTAGTGTAATGGCTATGTCGTTGGACTCCCATGTAGTTGACTGTGGTTCGAGTCCCGGACCTAGTGGCTTAAACTCACACCGGGCGCGTGTGCGTGTGTGCCCAAAATCCCAAGATGAGAATGGAGGAGAGGGGCGACATAGCCATTATGCTAACTGCTGGTTCCCAAAATTGCCTTTCTTGAAATTAAAAAGTGTATTTTAAAAATTACCTATTTGGTAACCACAATAAGATATATATACTCAGCTATGTGCTATTACATAGTTTATTCATTCTATCCACAGAGTTTCATGCCTAAAGTCAACTTTTGTTCACAGATATGTATATATCAGCTGAACTTACTATTGAAAGTATTTAGATTAATTAAGATATTCTGTGAATCAATACAATGTGGGAAAGAATAAATGAATGGAAAGCAACTGCAGAAACCAGAGACAGGGTGGGAAGAGGATGGGAAATGGCAGAGGATGAGAAATATGGGGGAATATGTATGTGTGTGTGTGTGTATATATATATATATGTAGGTATATATATATATATATATACACACATATACCTACATATATACACATACTAAACAAGAAATGGAAAATTATTTGTT